AGAAATGCCACCTAAGGAGTTCGTCGGAGACATGGTAGGGATCAAGTGGGTTTCGACATATGGGATCAAGGATTTTGCCATCATACGAAAAGATATCATAGGTAAACACAGCTACCTTGTAACCGTCATCTGGGTTAACGGAGATGGGGTATTGATTGAACATTTGGTGGATCCGTGACCGGAGAAGAAAGCCGTTTTGAGACGAGTCGATCTTCGCGGGTCCAGCGGTATTGTCCATGTCTGTAGCCCATCGTGCATAACAATGTTAAATCCAAAGGATTTCATGCTCGAGAGGAAAGATATAGGCAGCCTCGAACGCACTCTATACATTGGCCTGTATAAGGGTTTCAGGATTCGGGGTTCCTAAAATAACGTACTTCCGGTCGCGAACATCATATCTCTTTCGGGCTATTTGGGAATATTGTTCAATACCCTCCGGATATTGCTCCCTCACCACCAGGAACTTTGGCGACGATGGGTAGGATTAGTCCGCCATGTTAGCCACACCACCGTAGATGTTCCTGCGCTGGGGGATTTTTAATCCTCTATATTATCAACTCAATTAAACCCTCAGTGAGCGAAGATCAAGGGCATTGCCAGGATTACCTCCCCTCCCCTCTCGGGCCGGTCATATCATTCACGGTATGGTGGTGGCTGAAAGATGGAGTCAAGAAGCTCAGCGGCATAGGGGGGGGACTCACAGGACGTAAACTTATTCTGCTTATGGAAGGATTCTAAAATTCGGGAATGGGGCCTTAAAGATAAAGTATTGGGAAGGCTAGGTGCTTTATCAGGCACGATAGTCCCGAGTTCCACCAAGTTTGATTCCAGCCTTGTCTAGTTCTCATCTCAGCAAGAGCACCTCATCCACTACGATATACTGTATGTATCAATAAGCGTCACGCAAGCAACTGTTCAGGTGGTAAAAAGGCGGCGGGTTCGTGTCCTCTAAGGAATCCATCTCGGGCAGATATAAAAAATGCCTGGGGCTCCATGTTGGTAACAAGGTTTGAGGGGGGGGGGGCGGGGGCAGGTGACATAGGTAGTTTACAAATAGCTGCAGATGAACATGAGGAACTAGTGGGGGCTCTTTTTTTTTGCTTTCTTGCAAACAGAGCCACACCGATGCACTTCTAAACCCGGGAGTGTATTCAATAGAGGGTTTGAGAGTGTGGGAGATACTGGTGTCCCTTGGAAGCTGTTAGGCATGGCGAAGGCGATAGCTGCTGCTCCTACGGATAGCCTACACCGACCAGAGGAGTGCACTTCCCTTTCTGGACTTTCAGAGACAATTTTCTTGAGTCTGCACTCTGTCCCAAGATTTAAAAGAAAGCCCCACCAATGCAGCGTGGCTTGTCATCGCCTCATCTCACCATTGAGGGTTGGTATTCGGGCGGCTCGTGGAGCAGGTCCTTTACTATGTTCATCTGGAAAGTTTCCTGAGCCAAGTTCCGTACTCGAGGACGAAGATAATCTTGTGCCAAGTGCCGATCCGCGATTTCCACAACGAGATGGCTAACGACATATACTGTTTGAACTCTCTGTGATAGCGTCAACTGCTGCTCCCGTGGCTCTTCCGGCTGGGAGAGATGCCTGTCACGGTCATATGTCACTAGAGCTCTGCCGTGGAATAATTATGGGTTTGTGATAAACTCAAGATCCGCTTTTTTTTAGGTGTGAAAGCCCCCACCTGTACATCCAGACACCACTTCAGTTATTCGGCGAATACGGTGCTCCATATTCAGCGAATGCACGCTCTAAGAAAGGGAAAGAAAACTCAAAAAAAATGGAAAATCAGCTTACTTGCAGTTCCAATCCAGCAGATGCTTGGTGCAACGGGTCTACCCGGAGTCAGTATTGAGTTCCAACACATATGATCCAGCCACTAAAAATTCAGTTGAGGCTACTGTATTGAGCAAGCCCCGGCCAAGGTCCTAAGGGGGTTCAGCGCCATGAAATTGTCCATTTTGCCTACCACGGAGTAACCGATATCAACTCTTCCGACAGCTACCTAGTTCTGTTCAAACCAGATGGGGGTGATGCCGATAAACTGTCGGCTCGAAAAACGTCTCGGATCGAGTTGCGCAAATGCACAACTTGCGGATCTTTTTGCTCCTCCACCATCTTAGCCGATCCAACCATATGCTTGCCGACTTGCAGGAACCAAATAATTAAACCTCCAGTGAAGTTGCAAGAGACCTCCACAAACTCTCTTTTTCCAAAAACAGGGGGATGGCAACGAGCACCAGCAGGGTCTCCTCCGATTTTCACAAGGCTCTGAAGAAATTAGTGGCAGGTAGCGAGTGATGTGATGTGATTGGAGACACATGCCCGTTTCAGATGTTTGGTATAATAAATATTATATCCGAGGTGATATGTGAGGGAAAGCGGGGCATAATAGCGGCCATGAAAAAAAAAAAAAACGTCCAAAAACAAAACCGAGGGATGGCAATAGTTGAAGGTGGGAATGAAAACTTTTTTTTCGTAAACCATGGCTTGTACTGAACAGCAAGGTACTCACAACTGTAGCGGCAACACGGAGAACAGAAAGGATAGCGATAAAGATTACTGATACAAACCGAGAATCCATCTCCGGTAAAAGATTGTCAATCAGGAATACTCCCCCTCCCTATCTCCCGCTCATGGGGTAGACCCAATACGAGGAGGACAGAGGGCTGGCGGGGAGGATGGCATTTTGCAGGAACGTGTATATACAGTATATAAGTCCTCTATTTGCTATTTTAAACTCCAGTAGCAGAAGTGCAAAGGCTTCCGTCAGGACAGTCTGGCTCACACGGTTGTGAAGAATCATGGCCTGAGTTGGCACATATTTCAGTTTTTGATGTTTCTTTTGTCATAGAGAAGTACAGTTCTCCTCTACCCGGTGGGGGGGGTTAATTTTTATCTCCTTTTGTGCTCTAGGAACCGTTCTTTCCATTTACCTGCGGTATAAGAATAACTAATGTAAACCCTTTCCTGTGTAATAAATTATGATAGTGACCTCCGACCAGATAACTTGACTCGCAGCTCCTGGCCGGGTGGTGATCCGGTATATGATGAGAAGATTTCATTCGGTATTCTCGACCAGGATTAGGAGGGATATCGGGCGATTTCGTTTTTTTCGCTCTCGCTTGTTAGGGATATGATATAATACCTCTTCCCCACAGGGCGTTGGGGTCGATAGTGTTAATTAGGAGGAAAGAAAGTGTCCGATTGGGTAGGTTATTAGATCTCAGATCACACTTTCTGTTTCGTTGCGCTATAAGTTCCTACACTAGTAAATTTACAGTACAGCATAGCACATGGTTAGTATCAAGTATGATATCGTAAGTTTTTTTTTTTTCCTCCCAAACCCCTGAAAAAACTCCTCAAACTCTGATAGGAAAGCAGCCGTGACGCTCCTTATCATATGAGAACAAGTATCGCAATTGCCCATGTGCAAACCACCTAGGGTGCGAACCTTATGTAACCCCGGGGTCTTGTACTATATCTTGAAAAGGGATATCGTTAAAAGCACATCTAATGTGACTATGATATATGTCTTTAATTTAGACTGACCCAATATAACACACCAAGGACTGAGTTGAATTATAAGCTTTTTCATAATTATGATACCGAGTGAAAAAAAAAAAATACAATGCTTCTTGGTATTAGGGGTACTGTAAGTGAGGACGGCTTATCAACTATACATTATCACAAAGTTCTCGCATTTAGAAAGGATTCATTTAGACGAGTATTCAGGTCAAGCGGTATTATTGATGCTCTTGTTGTTTAAACCCTTTATATTATCATTTTAATTCTACTGTACCTTCATTCTGAAGTTTGGTTTATCACTCTTTCCCAGTGCTGATAGTTTCTGTCATCTCCGTTGTTAATATGGGCCCCCGTTATTGTAGGTATCGGAGTATCATATGAGGAAAGAAACCCACCAATAAAATGATCATCGATCCTACCTTTTCCTCCATCCATAGATTTTTCAAATCCCCTCCTGTATTAATCAAAGTATATATATATATATACGATACAGCACCTTATGTTATAGACATGAACTCCTCTGAAAACAAGGATGGAAATGCCTGTCGGTACATCATATTAGCATGTCCAAGTTCGGCTCTTCCACAATTTTCGAGTCTCTACTCAATCTGCCCCGATACCAGTAGAGTATATTACCGGAGGGGTGGATCGTAGAGGTTGAGCACATACTTGTGTGTGGGGGGGAGGGTCCGGAGTCTACTATGGGTTTATTTATTATATTTATAACCCGCTAGCGGTGTTTATTGGCCACTAACTTTCCTACTTATCCTCACGAAAAGGATAGTGCCATAGTAGTGATAGTAGTAGTAGCGGTAGGTATCGTAACCGACTAACCCGATGCGTAGATATACCAACATACAACCCATCCATCCCACAGTGTTTTATGAAATACTCACTGGCAGGTAGACTTAGCATGTCCAGGCCAGACATACCCCCCCCTACCGTGCACAACATCCCAGCCCCGCGATTTCAGCTTTGTTTGAGCAGATATGGTTTAACTTCCCCCGGCCGGTTAGCCCACCGGCGATAAAGCCACCAGAGTTTTTCTAACACTGTTGCGTTGCTTTTTCCCCGGAACGGCCGCTCGATCAGACCCAAGGGACGGAGCAGGGAACGGCAGTGTCCAAGCTGAATCCAGAGAAGTATCGGTCCAAAAGAGGAAGAAGGGAGGGGAAAAAATGATAAGACAATGCCCCAATTACAGGGGTGCTAAAGTAGTTGGCGGCAAGCAGGACTGATTGCAAGGGGTTCTCCCAAGGCGCTGCTCGATCGCAAGGGAAATTTTACGGTGGATAGGCTCACAAAAAAACGGCACATTACTAGGAGGAGGGGGGAGATAAAAATTTATGAGTGCAGTACAGTAACTTGCGAACGGGAGTATGGATGAATATTTTGATGTGTCCCAGGGAGTCAGTACTGTACCACAGCGCATACCGGTAGCTCTCAATAAACGCGGAGGAGAGTATCGAGTGACGTCTTGTGACGGCAAAGCAGTGTATTGACTATTGACTCATCTGCGCTGTGGTAGGTTGAGATGTTGTTTGGCGCCACGCAGTTTAGGGTGGCCTACCGCTAGACAATCGCTCCGCACAACGATGTCTCAGTATCACACGAAACTGACGTCGGCCTTTTGGTATTCCTACTTTTTTATACCGGTAGGCAACCCCTCTCCATCTGGCAAGCTGTAACCTACCGGTAGTTCGCCCAGGTGTGGCATTACATAATACAAGCACTAACTCATATGATAGTGTCATACAAAAAGCAACCACACTTCCTACCGCAACAGAAAAGAAGAGCACTGGTGCCCGGGAATACATCCTCCCCATTTCCATCCCACTCCCCCTAAACTAACTCAATAAATCCCCAAAACAAACACATCCCTACAAATCTTGTCAAACAAACCCCAAAAACCCCCGCCATCAGACAATAACCCACAAAACACAGACTACCCAAGGACACATCACCTATCAGCCCTTACCCTACTAATGGGTTTAAGAACCCCTCTAAACAAACTGCTGAAATAGCAGTGACGTTACAGGTTCTGGCCTTAACCAGCATATTGCAATCCTTGGCAATTAAAACAGCCGCCTTCTTTTATCTCCCTAATCCATAGGGATTATACGCCCCGGTGCCTCTCCCTGCCGTTTCCTAGTCTCTGTGATGGTTGCATCGGTTCTGCGCTGGTCACCGTCCCTAGATCGTCAAGTTGCTCCCTCATTATGCCCATGCCACCCCGCCTTCGAGCGTAGTCGATCAGAATCAGCTCTAGAGGCATTGTTGGTAATTTTTGTACGGCCCTTCCTAATGAAATGTTAGCATGAAACAAATAACTAGGAAATTCTGAAATACCTAAAGTTCCCCAACCCCCGGCCCTAAAGGTCTTGGTTGGCTTCCACGAAGGGTATAATGTGTACGGGGTTAGTAGACTGGTAATGAAAAAAAAAAAACCCCCCAAATAATAACCCAAACAAAACAAATAACAAAAGAAACAATTACAATTATCCCTCCACAGCAACACCACTCCTTACCTACAACGAACTCATTACCCGGACACGTCCCCTGCCTCCCGCCTCCGGCGCTTTCTCTTTGCAAACGTCTCTTGCTCCTCCCATACCCCAGCCTCCTTCATTAGTTTCTTTGCCCGTCGGTTCGCTCTATACCATGCGGTCTCCGGTAGCGATTGTGCAACCCATTCCTCAAGTGCCGGTAAACTAAAGGTTATAGGATCCAGCGGATCCAGACCTTCCGGAACCCCTTCTCCGAAAATATCCTTCAGCATTATCTGAAACTCCCGTGGTTCTTTCGAACCGACTGGCGGCGACGGTACGAGAGTTGTGTATACTTCCGAGATATCTTTGAAGTTCTCCGAGGCACGATAAACATGTATTGTTGCCTTTACTTTTCTAATTAAAGGCTTCTGTAACATAGCTTTCTGATTGAGGTCGTGTAATCTTTGAGCTAAATCGATACGGTCTGTTGATATGTCGATACTTGCAATGATCTTTTGCTCCTTGGTTCGCCTTCTGCCATTCCGGGTCCCAATTTCTGACATTTATCGGGACTACCTCCATGCCATCCCTTGTAGGAGTTTCGGTAAAGGACACAACAATAACAATCTTTGGCTCTCCTCCAGTATGTAGGAGCCAAAGTCGGCCATCATCTATTAATTGCTCCCGCGTCTCTGACCAACCAGCTTCACAGACAACGGCAGGAAACCTGGCACCCCTTAACCTCACAAAGGTGTCAGGGAGTTTTTCTGATGAACCACTTCTGCCACCCTCGAAACCTATAAAGGCTGAATCGAGTTAGTTAAATTCTAAAGAGGATTTATTCATTACATACTAGTACCCGAACCAACACTAACCAATTGACGGGCTTTTAAGAGTCCCACTTTTTCAGTGAGAGAGACACAGACAGTATGTGTAAAAAAGTATTGTGGAGAGTCATGTGTCACAGTCGACATGCATTTCATGATGAAATGTTCTGCCCGGGAATTGTATTCATATTCATATCGGATATGCCCGTCATCAACAAGTTCCTGGTTCTCGCTTATCCAATTCTCCAGGTCTGTTACCAAAACATTTTCAAAACTCAGATCTCTTCTAATATTTCATGTAGTTCTAATATCTTTTTCCGTTGTAGGTCTCTGAGCCCAAAGGTAGGTTCTGCGGTACTGATGAGATCGAGTTGGTTTGGGGGGGGGATAGAAGATCGGTATCGCAAGACATAATAATTGACCGAACAGGAGCACCCTTAGTTTTCAAAGGGATGGGAATCAGCGGACATTTTATAGCAGGTGGGGGAGGTGCTATATTTGGTGTGACCGGTCTTTTTGGTACAGTCGCACCTGGTTGTCCCGGACGGCCAAAATCCTGAGAATCCGTCTGGAACAGCGAGTTTTCCGGGACAACAGGTTTGGTTTCGGTGTGAAGAAAATTATAATTCACAGAAACTCATCCGAGACAGCGAAGAATCCGGGAGAGCGAGGTCCGGGACAACGGGGTGCGACTGTAATCTGGGTGTATGAGCTCGGTAGGCATCATAATGACCATGAGATTATATGTGTAGTGTGTACTAGTACGGTACTTCGAGAAGCAAGGCAGCTGCCACTACGGCTACCCCCAGCAGCAATAGGTTCTCGGTTACCTGAGCCCAAGTCAAACCTATTAGACCACATAATTCCAGTTTTTGAAATCGTGGCTTGGCCTTTGTACCAGGGAAAGAGGTAGCGAGAGCAGGATCACGTGTGATTGCGGGAGGTGAAATTGGGTAGCGAAAAAAAAAAGTGAAGGAGAGAGAACTGAAACAACTGGGAGAGAGGATTAAGAAAGGGTAGGTGGAGGTTCAAGATATAGGATCGTCTGAGGTTTAAGGTAGGATGGTAAGAAGCTTAAAAGAGATGGAGGACCCAATTGAGATCCTTTTTTTTTTGGCGGAACTTCGAGAAGAGATTGATATAAAAAAAATACCACGGGATCAGGAGAGAGTAAGGTGTCGCTTAAGCAAAGACTAAGAGCCCGCTGGCAGGATAGAAAACGTATCTGGATAAGACAGTAGGAGGGTCCTAAATCGATAGCAAGAGGAGAGTAAGTGGTTTGATGAAGGATCAAGTTATCAATACAGGATCCAAACAGGATCGAGTAACAATGAACAAGGATTAAGAGGTGATTAAGAGATGAGAGAAAATGAAGTGAGCGAGGATAGAAAGATAATAGGGAGAGGACGAAGTGAGAACAGGAAGAGGCGAGAGCCAGGTGAGAGGGGCGGTGTTATGCTACTTATATACGTAAGCATTTCAGGCACCGGTTGGCTATTACTTTGGATAGCTAAACTTTAACGTCTATCGTAGCTTCATCTCTCACAAATAACACTTCTCCCTTACTCAACCCCCCTGGTATCATCTGTGCACTTCCTAATCCCCCATATTCGCTGCCATCCCGCCTGCCCCATCCTCTTCATCATCCTCACACTTGGTTGAATACTCCAGGCGGCTCCTTGACATTTTATCCACCAAGGCCCAACCTCTTTGCATACCTCTCTCCCAGGTCGGTTGTCGAATGCTCTCTGCCCCTTGCCCCACCCTCAGCAATCTCAATAGTATCCACCTACTCTGGCGTATCCCTGGAAAGTCCGCACTTGGCACTTCGTGTACAATTTAGTCCGCGCCCTCCGCCAGCGGTGCAACGAGTGATGGATCGGATGTACCCCCCAGTACAACAATCTTCCTTCCGCGCACGATCGGTTAGCGAGCAAGGCTCCTCGCGTCGGGTAGCGAGAGCTAGAGCTCGAGCCCATGCTTGCCTGGGTGCTACAATTCTACTAGGAAAGACAACAGGTTGGGGCGTGCACCATGCATGAACTCCGGCTTGAACTTGAATATACACCTAACGTAGTTCCTGGGAACTTCCCCTGGCACTGGGCACCCGAAAGTCCTTCCAGAATCCATCTTTACTGGAGTATATTCCTCTTCCCACCCCCATCTCCCTCAAATACCGCCTCCCATCCTCCCCCTTCTTCCAGCCCCCCACCTCATCCGCAGAGAGCAGTTCATAAACCACAGACCCGGCCTCCAATATCTTAAACCTCGCTTGCAACTTCCGTCGAACAATCCCCCGCCGCCCCCCATTGACCATGGATCCCCGCCTCGTCTTCCCTCTCACACCCTCGCTCCCCCTCACCCACCATCTGTGGAACCTCCTCTGCATCCCCGGACCCATTATAGTATTGGTGCTAGTAGCGTGACCTGCCGAAAATTTGATGGCTATGGTGGTGCATTATGAAACCCTTTGAAATCTTAGTCATTGAGAGAGTAGTGGCCAGAAACACAACCTTTCGAGAGCTCAGCAGGTGGTGAGACAGAATGACCAAGGCCTTCTTGGGACCGTGTTCTTGGTTGTTGGCTCTCCGTTTCCCTTATCCATGCTTTCCAAGCTGGACAACTCTTGGATGCGAATGGCTTTCAATAGTCTTTCTCGCTTCTCCCATGGTGACCTCAATATCCATCCGAAAACTCTTATCCATGGATGCCTGGAGGCCACTCTGCCCAAATGTAGCTGGCGGTGGCGGTCCGTACCTTGGCGCAACCGAAAGCGGAACCATGAACTTGATCTCATCGACCTCCGCATCATCTGGTAACTCCAAAATATACCCAATCTCGACCTTAATCTTCACACTAGCGGGTATATTCCCAATACCAGCAGTGAAAACATCCGGGGTATTGTACTCCAACAGCTCAGCCATCTGCCCGCTTCGCCCAGCCTTCTCTTATACGTCCCCTCCGCAACTCCCTCCGGTTCGATGAACCCGGTAATAATCTTACTTTCACCGACTCTACAAACGAAAGACACGATGGAAAATTTCGCCTATAGTGGGAATATATAGGTTGCTATTGAAATTGGTCGGTTCCCGGGGTGGTAGAATACCTACGTTAGTGTTGTCCTAGCGGTTGTCGTGAAGATTTGACATTGGTGCAAGACTTGCACAAGCGGGAGGAAGTCCTGCTGTCGCACCTGTGACACCGGTAGCGGATAATTGTAGTGAGTGAGTGTAGCCCATTGGTATAGCCACCCATGAGCGGAGGTTGGCCAGGTTGTAAGTCGTAAATCGGGTCGCCAGGTGGGGTTACTGTACATTGTGTTCGGGAAAGAAGTAAATGCCCGAGATGGGTGGAAGTGCCATGTTGATTTCCCCGGAGGCTCCCCCTTTTTTTTTTCAAATAGTGTCCGATAGCTCCTCAGGACTGGGGGATTTCAGCGTTCTCGCAGCTTTATGTTGTTTGGTTGGAAACACTTTGGTACGAAAGATTATGCTTTGTGAGTGGTTCGACGCCGGGCAGCGTTGATAGAAAAAGTAAAAATAATATCATAATTTATCACTCGAATTTCATTGCGCAGTGAGGAGCTCTCCTGCGCCCCAAAACGACAACCGCACTCACAACAGCGATCCCGCAGACACCCTTGGGCTAGAGCAGATACGGAAAGCTCACCTCGGTATCATCCTGTCTTTAGTGATTTATGTGATGGCGGAAAGAGGTGATTTTAATCACCGAGTTTTTGCCATTTCCGCAGCACGCGAGTATTATAGTCAGATGTGAAGTATGTGCATAGTGGTATCATACTACTGTGTCATACCGGCACTCTTGCAAGATCTACGAGTAGGGTAGCGGGAAAGCCGCTCCAGAACATGGGGAAACTTTGCGCGGGTACAGTACCTGCCGGCAGCCCTATTCCAGAATGAGGTTTGCTAGAGTTATGCCATAGAGAACCCCTTGCATATCGACAAATGTAAACAAAATAGGGTTTTCGGTAGGCGGTTATGTAAGCGGGGGATGGGTTTTGACCCAGAACCCCTCACAATAGACTAATTAAATTTACCCGAGCCCCGTGGCCATCACAGTCGCATACCGGTATCGGGCTACTTCGCAGCTCCCGTCTATATGGATGTTGTATGGACCGAGCTGTATCCAATCTCGTGTGGTGTAGATGTGACCCCTTACAAAACCGGCTAATGAACCGGTGGAGAATTGACTTGACGACGAATTGCCTAATTGACTGGACAGAGGGATAAAGACTGAAGCACTAGGACTAATTGAGATAGAAAGGAGATGCTGTGTATTGGCTTGCTGTCCCCAAGTTGGTTGTATTTGTCTACTCAAGTAGCTGGGGAAACATGAAAGCGCTTTTCTATGCAGAAAATTCCACATGCAAGGCCGTCTTCCAGTGTGCGGCGGTATTACGCTAGAATCAGACATGCCACGCGAAAAATGCTCTCGAGTTCCCATCGTCGCGTGATCACAACCGACCATGAGTGCTATACGAGTACTGTACTTGGGTGTGGTTGTTGGGTGAATAGAGTGTTAATATACGCGCCCAACAGTCTGTCATCCACTCTTGGTTAGCGCCCAGCGTACATAAGCGCCCATACTCATGCAGCCGTTTGTCATCCACTCTCGGTTAGTGGTCAGGTTAGGTAGTCTACGGTAATTGTGCCAAGGTTCCTGCCACTTCGAAGAAGGCTAAGCGACATTCCAAGTGGCGGGGACCTTGGCACGGCGACTTGGGGTGGTTGTTGGCTACGAATAGTGGTCAGTACACACACCCACTGGTCTTTCTTCCGCTCTAGGTTAGCACTAGGTTGGTGCTCCGATTACATAAGGGCAACACCATAGCCGACTATCACTCGAAATACCCTCCTCCGAGGGGGAGGCTACAGAAATCCCAACCAGACAGCACCCGTGATTCACACAATACACTCAGCACTACCTCCACATATAGCCTTACCGCAATCGGAGGAACTAAGGTAGGTTAGCATGGGATGGGTCCCGGTGGTACTGTACGAGTTGGACAGTTGAGTCTATATTCCAAACACATGGCATAGCTAAGGGACTGGCAGGGTATGTGGCAAGTTACCTATCTGAATCCCACATCCATATAATGTAACCGATTCCACAGACTAGAAGTAGAGACTGAAAGGCATGCCTGTGTTCGAAAGATACGGTACATTACCATACCTTACCTATTGATACCATACGGTAAATCACAGTATTACAGTAAATCACTTGCGGAAGGTAGAATACCGGAAAACAGCACTGCGACATCTGAAATCCTGATATCAGGTAATCTGATTCTCCATCCTATGGGTTTAACGTAGGCATTCTTTCCAATGAAATCAAGCTTAAGCTCCGAGACTTTCCTGACCATCACCTGATATGTACGGTAAGCTACAGTACTGTATCGAATCGCATCAAATGATAACTTGCCGTAGACATACCGTTCGTACCCTAAGGCACATAGAGTGATGGCCCCTGACCACCCCATCACAACTCCCATGGTCTGCCGGTGCCGGACACTATACCTTATTAGCTCTGAGGGGCCAAGGGGCTCCAAGGCGGAGGTGTATTACCATGTAACTTCAGTACAAATCCCTTTTTGTGCCTCGGCGGTCCCGGGGCCAGCCCGCTAGAATAATTGTGAACATTATCATCCGGTAGCTCCTGCACTCCACCTAGCAGTAGGCCACCACCACCATCGGTGGACCCTGCATGGGGCAATGCTGGTTGGGTGGAGAGACTGCTCGTAATGTATTCCCTTCATCATTCTCGCAGGGTGCCGAGGCCAGCAGGCGATACAGGTTGGAAATATTATGAGTGTTAAAAGGTCCTCTAGATACTTCTCCTACACCAGAGATTCGCTTTAGTAAGGTTGGAAACCAGGTTGTATATGAGGGGTTATACCTCTATCCCCCCTATGTATTGTCCGTTTCCCGCGTCATGATATCATCCTTGCTGGGCCCGACAGATATACTTTTCACTCGTCCAGAGAGACGCTTTTCGATCCCAGCCTGCAAATGATGCATTCCAGTCACAAATATGCGTGTCCCAGGGAACCTTTCGAGGATTTGTTTCAGCGAATCCAGGTGCTTGACTTGATGCGCCGCCGCACACTCGTCAAGGGCGTCGACGCATACGAATGCGCACTACGAGGACGTGATCATCTGCAGCATGTTTATGATATCGCGAAGTCTCAGTCCCCGTCCACCAATTACTTTTTTCTGCTCCTGATAAGCCTGTGAATTTGCCTTCGGAATCCCTTCCATTCCGCTCACCATCTGTTTCACCAAGGATCCCAGCATACCGGTTGCAGACCGCACCTTTCGCGCCGCAAAGTCAAAGTGCAAACACGCAACAGCGGTGTTTGTCCTTGAGCCTGATAGCATACTCTATCCACTACTAGCGAACTAATATCGTAACGTGTTAGCACTAGCCCTATTCCAGCTCTCCTGAAGGAATAATCCTCGCTACCTGATAAATGTCTTACCTACCTTAGGATCTCCATAGCAAAACAAGACTGCTTTATCTCTTTCACCTTCCCCGCTCCACTCATACCATTACCTAAATCCCTCAGTTTTCATAAGGCATTCCCGCACATTGCCAACACGGCGCACTTGGCTGTCCAAATGCTGTAACGTGGGCTCTTGGAGTAATAACCAAGTTCAAAGCTCTGATCGATCATCGGCAACTGTATAATTGTTCCACACATTAACATTGTTCATATTGAAGGAGTTGCTATTATCTTTGATGATGAATTGAGGCATCTTCCAGTCTTTGCCGCTTTAACTGCTGTAAATTCCAATGTTTATTTCAACCGGCAAAGGCAATGTTGTCGAGGAGGAGTTATTGAGGATGGTTGGGGTTGTCTAGTTAGTAGGAGCTAGATAAAGAAAACTCTGAAACGAGAGAACATTGATTTTTTTTTTTGGTTTACCGTATCCTCCCGTTAAATTAACTATCTCCACGCAGGGGCCCAATCACCGCACGAGGAGGCCATAGCTCCCTAGTGCGGGGATCAGGAGCCCACGCGGAGATAGTCAATCTGACGAGAGGATAGGTAAACCATAAAGGTCTTTGATTGATTATTGAAAACAAAAATACCAACGCCCCGCCCCCCTACCCCTACCCCCCCACCGAAACCCATTGCGTAACAATGCTACAATCACAGTTAGTACACATGGCACTTGAAGACAAACCCTATAACTTACTGTTAATCATTCTTCCCGCTCCCACAATCCTCCCCACCCGCTTCCCTGCATAAAAAGTTTTCCACATTCTTGATGAATTCTTTCATCACCTGCTTGTCCCCACCCATGACCTTCATCGCTTTCACCGCGGAGGTGAGGATTAGGGTCTGCGTAGCCCTATTTTCCCCGTGGAGTTTGGCAAGTTCTCTGTCGACCCGGGAAAACTTGGCATTGACCTCGGTGCGAAAATCATTGACCTCGGTGCGAAAATCATTGACCTCGGTGCGAAAATCGTAGATCTCTTTTCCCATGTTTTTTTGGCCATACTGCGCATGAGCGATTATCATACCCGAGCCTCCCAAAGCCCCGACAAGGGTCCGGTTTTTCAAGATCCACTCTTTGAAGTGCAAGATTCAGTTAGTCAGCAGCTTACTTCTCTATTTCGACATATACCAAGAACGTAAACATACTGCCGCATCCTCGAATTTCATTTCTGACGAAGACGAACGCCTTTTGCATACTGGCTGACCTCAAACTAGCAAACATGCTGTCACCCGATTAGCCTTGTAAATTGAAAGATGTCTGGATGTCAGACTTGCCTTAACTTCGTGCTCTGAAGAAAAATATAGTTCAAAAACAATCTTCCTATTGGTTGTGGAGGTAGAAGGGAAGAAGGGACTGCTGTTTGTGGTGTGGTATTGGAAAGAAGAAAAAAGGGGGAAAGGGAAATTTTCTTCGCTAGATACAGTGTTGCGAAGCTATGGTTACCCGGTTGTCGGCAAAATTTTAATATGGTGTAAAGCAGTGCCGACCCTGACATGTCAGACAATTCCGGTGTAACCCCGCTCTTGTTTGCCGCTTGGAATAGACATGAGGGAGTGCGAAAATACTACTAGGGCGGGAAGATGTCAACTCTGACAAGGCAGATAAATACGGCAGAACAATGATCCTGTCTGCCGCTTCAAGAGGTCATGTAAGAGTCGTGAAAATACTACTCGGACAGGAAGAGGCCACCCCGACAGGCCAAATAATTCTGACCTAACACCACTCTCCTCTGCCGCGTGAAATGGACATGAGGAAGTGGGGAAAATCCTGCTCGGGCGGGAAGAGGCCAACACCGAGAAACCAAATAATTCCGGCGCAGAACCCCTCTCGTTTGCCGCTCAGAGGTGGGAATAGTTGCAGTTGCGATTGGTGGTATGCACGGCTTAGCCTTATCGCACGAGGGGAGGGTGTACTCGTGGGCCGTCAATGATTAGTGCGCCCTTGGGAGAGCGACCACCCATACACCTCCGACCGGGTTTGTGCGTTCAGGTGATGATGGCAACAGCGACAATGATGGCGAAGAGCGCTTGAATCCATTGGAAAGTACGCCAATGTTGATTACAGGGCTCCCGGAGGGGACAGTAGTCTAATTATCTGGATCGCTGCCGGTGAGAGTATTTCGATCGCTGTTACGGACGCCGGCCAAGTTTGCGGGTGGGGAACATTCAGGGTATGTGATAAATTCTCCATTCAGGGTTAGTACGGTTCATTTATTGTTTAGTGCGACGGCGGCATTCTCGGATTCAATGACAGGACAAGTGCTCAGCATGTCCCAGCCTTGCTACCTACGCTCAAGAGCATCGTTCAGGTCAGTATTGGTACTGATCACGTCCTTGGCCTTACGAAGGAAGGAGAGGGGTACGCGTGGGGCAATGGTCAGCAATTCCAGCTTGGGGGGCGTGTCCTCGAGAGGAATCGCCACATCGGGCTGATCCACCGCCGGGTGTCCCTTCCCCGGTGCCAAGTCAAGCATGTCGCGACCGGTTCATATCATTCTTTCGCAATGACCCAAGACGGCAGGGTCTGGACGTGGAGACTCAATCAATATGGCCAATGCGGGATATACAACCGCGGCCCGGCGGCGAGGAAAGTACCACCATTCCCGTCCCTACTATCACCCAGAGTCTGGTGCAGTACACAATCGACCAGATATCCGCCAGAGAGCATCACTCAACCGCCCTGACCATGGACGGTGTGCTCCTGGTCTGGGGCCGCCTTGATAGTGGACAACTCGGTATAGACCCCGCGGCACTGCCAGTAGAAGATATCGCCCATGACGCAGAGAGCAACCCCTGCTATCTCAAGACCCCATGGGCCCAGCATCAGGTTGTCCTCCATTGGCTGTGGCATGCACCACAATATTGCCGTCTTGATCGAGGGACAAGCGTACTCTTGGGGTTTCGGTGGCAGCTATCAGACTGGCCTCAGCCCTGGGGCCACGGACGAGATCAGGACTCCTACAACGATTGAGAACATGGCAACCAGAGGTGTCAGAATGGCTTTCCCCGCTGCCGGTAGGCAGTTCTCCATCCTCGCTAGAATCCCCACAAAACCCGCTAATTGCAGTTATCGGGGTGCTGATACGGATGGTAATGATTGATGAGGGTGATGGGGGAGGGATAAAGAGTGGCCGCTGACAGACCCAAAGAGCGGGACCCTCACAGCTGGGATTTGTACATCTACGAGGTTGGGAATCAATAACGTTGCCTCTTGATCTGGGCCTCAGACAACAACAGGGGCATAATTGATCTTCCTCATTCTGGGGGTGTACGAGCCTTCCTATTTCCTTTATTAAACCAGTTGTACCATATACTGTGTGGTAGGCTTTAGTTAGTCACAAGCACGCCTGAGTGAATGGTCTGAAGTCCTCTCGCCTTAAATTAGATTATATTCATGCCTGGATATAAGTGTGCACACCATTTCAAAGGCGATATCTGTGCATGTAGGGAACTCTGTGGCCTACCATTCGGATCGCATATGTAGCCTATCTCCGGGGTCCTTCCGGCTCGGGCATCGCTAACTATCCGGCATTGCAGAAGGGAGAATATATAGCCACCGTCCACCCGTGTAGGACGGCACCAAGGTTGTCCAGACGGGCTGAGGACTAGCAGGGTTGGCCGTCAGTTGGTGGCCGTCAGGTTGGGTGGCTGGAGGTACTGCACCATCCGCCATAGATCGTATCGAGTTTGAGTGCATACTCTACCTGTCTACAATATTATCCGATCATGCCTGATCACCGGGGGCTCATAGACGAAAACCGAGTGAACCCTTATAGCTCTGTCAGCCACCGTGTATCAGATGTATTACCTGAATGTTCCAATTTTGTAATGGCGTGGCCATTTTCACAACGCTCCCGCTGGATATGCAGGAGACAGATGTGGGGGAAAAACCCTTTCGGATACCATCCCCCGGGAAATATACCATCGAAAAAGTGAAACCTTTGCAACGAACAACAAAATATTCACACATCTCCACTCATCTTTTTATTGCTCAAAAATGCAAATAAATTAAAAAAAGTCCCGGGGAAAAATAATGAAATACCCACAGTCTGCTAGCATTTTTAAAACATTTCTCCACAACTTTTTAAGATGAACTGGGTAATACTGAATGTGTTCAGCAATCTTCTTAGAGTTCTT